AGAGTTATATGCAAAAGTCATACCTCAGACGGGGCTCGAACCCCATCCCCACTTACCGGGCGCTCAGCCTTCGTTGGCTCCCTTGAATTTAGTCGTCTTTCTTCCTTCAGCCGCTCGTCCCACCGAAACCAATCTACCTTCCCTTCTCGCAACCGAGTCCGACTCTCGCGGTTGGTGGATACAGTCTAACCAGCGTGGTAACCAGGTGTAGTTCTCGCAGAAAAGTTAGGCCTGTGCTAGATAACTTTCCACTACACTAAGCAAAACAGCTTCTGGTGTGTTTTCATTATAACCAGAAGCAGACCGTATGAATAACTGTCTAGCAGGGATCAGAATCAAGTCTAGCTGTCTCATCTAAAGTGAGCCCAGGAGGCTAAGTAGCTGGAGCCGGACTTAACTGGTTAGCTGTTATGGTGGCTGATCTTGATTAGCTGCTTCCCGTGAATCTCTTAGTTCATCCTGCAATTACAAGAAACGGTTACGGAGATTGCGGCCAGCTCAACAGAGGGATAAGCTTTACAAAAAACAGAGTGGAGATAGATTTGTGCTATTTATTTCTAGACCACGATTCTGCACTTAGCCGTTGTTTTACAAAAAGACAGTGGAGAAAAACCAACAGTGGGTCAAAATATGCCTGTTCTAGGCGTGAACTGTCTTGTGATAGTTCATCTCAAACTTATGAGCTGATTTTCAGGAAACACGCGCTCTACAGTACGCTGTGCCAGCAAACTGTCTACTCATAGGAGCCTTATCATTACTGATACCTGCCGGACCATTATCGGCAGCTATGATGCTTGACGCATTCCTTCTGGCAATGGCCGCCATCGGTATCACCGGTCATGCAGCTGTACTTATTGTTCCAAACATGGCTATCAAAGTAAGACCTTGAGCGTGTTCGTTCAGGGAATCACGTTCGGAAAAAAATGAGGGATATTCGAGTTATTTTACATTTCAGATTCTTCTTCTGCTCATTATGTTGTTCATAGGATGCGTATCGATTGATACATTCCATGCTCACTATATCAAAGAAGCTGTTGGTATTGTTGGAGAAGCTGAGGTTAGAACTAGTCCCAGTTGTTCCCGTTCTTCTTCTCTTCTGTTCTCGCCAAAAGGTTCAAGCAAACGCTTCCTGTCAAAGACCTACCTGAAATTCGGGAGAAGTGAGGTTCGCAGGACATAGTGCCGTTTGAAGCAGAGGTGATGAAGGTGGCTGGTTGATGTCATGCATGTTGCACCCTTTTGGATCACCCTTCATCAGTCCTAATAGTTGATAATCTATCTCGTTCAAAACGGAATGAAACACTGAATATAGAATCATTGACTCTGCGCCAAGCCACTAGTGGCAAATTGCTATTGAAAAGCTCATAAACCCTTTGCTCGTAGGGGCGATGGGCGCAGGGGAAATGGTTGCGCAACGCAAGCCTTGTTCCTTTACTTCAGTGTTTTTTTCTTGTGTAGGCCACAGAAACCTGTATCACATGTCCAAATCGTTTCGCTCCTGCCAGTTGTTTGTTCGTTACCGCCTTCAGCGACTGCTGAAAAACGGTAGGCGGCGCGCCAAACGCAGCCCAGGGGACACATCATGTGGAGAATTCCCAACAAGGGGGGGGCGGGGGGGGAGGGTGAGAGGCAGTGTTTCAGTTAAGCAAATATTGTGACAGTTTGTTTCCTCGGTTCACGGAAGCATGTGTGTGAGTAGGGAGGGGTCGTATTCGTTTGTTTACGGGAGAGGGGGATCGTATTTGACTTCTGAGACAATTGCGACATAGGAAAATCCCGATTGTTGACTTATCGCGGTTTTTCCCCACTTCACGTGTGCTCTACCCTCCACAGCTCGATCATAACAGGGGGGGGGGTCGTTTGAACCTGCGACATCCCCGCCTGATGGTGTGTCCTGAACCTAGCAGTGACACGTCCTATCGTCTGCAGAGAACAAGGCTGTCCGATTGAGAATGGAGCCAGAATCTAGTGTTTCACTAAAGAAAGACAGTAGGACCCTTATGAGTTTTGAATGGGTCATATTAAATTCGATTTTTCAAAATAGTGCTCTGTTTGATCCTTTGATATTCATAGAAACATTACCATCAGGATAAATTCCCCTCAGATAATCTCGAAATTAGTGGTATTCTATGACCCTACAGTGGTGGTAATGGCTTTTCAAAGCCATGCGAAGCAGTTCCTCCTCATATTAAGAAAGGTTCAGGAAGGCCCAGTTTTCATCGTCCCCCCCCCCACCCCTCCCTTCAAAATGTCTGCCTCATCCCTAGAAAGTAAATTTTCTGCTTGTCCTTTACATTCTCATAATGTCATTAAAATTTCGGCCAAAATCTAACTTACTTAGGAATTCTGAACATCTTTGGCATTGTTCCCTTTACCTCCTGCTAAGGAATTCATCTGCTGCCTACTTTCAGGTTGTACCTCAGTCACCGGTATCGTTATGGCGCACTGTTGTTCATAATTATCCGTCGTTGCCGCTCTGGATTATTGCATTTGTTCTCATTATTATTGTTGAAATTAGGTAACAAATTGTCATTTATTTGAATTGTTTGTAAATTGCTATTTTATATGAAAGAAATCCCCATCATGACGATATCAAAATCGAAACTTTGCGCTTTTCATATTGGTAAGCCAGTGGGTTTGGGGTTTTAGCTCTATGGAAGAATTTCGCTGAAGAGGTTTTAGTAAGGTGCCGGGTGGTAGATCCACATTGCCGGCAAGGTGGCGGGACGTTGCAAGAGGTACACTTGAAACCCCTGAGATGCAGTAGGCGTGGCTGCGTACTTCAACTAAACATGGCGGCGGTGCTCTTGGTGAGATATTTTTATTGTGAGATAATTGTGGCCATGCCTTTGACCTACGCAGAACAAGGTGACAGTTGTCTCACGTTGACATCACGAGTAACCCCACCTATACCATGTCCAGATACCACATCTACTCCGTCTCAGGGATGAGGAGTGTACCACGTGCGCGGTACTCCATGAGAACCAACTATGATTCAACCGTGGTGACTGGCAGTTCTCGCTATAAAATTCCATAACTCCTATCACAGAGCGCACTATATGAAGTGGGCGCTTTTAGCGACAGGGGGGGGGGCTATTTTGTACTAATCCGCTAGTTCCGGGTTTTACGCCATGCTCACCATAGGTAACACATTGTGAACGCCTGTAAAGCTGGGGTAAGTATTAGCCACCAATCCCAAACTTGTCACTCGAAGAAAGAAGCTACCTGAGATGGGTCGCACCATCTATGAAAAGCCGACATGCTCCTCGTTCGAGAACTGCGCCTAGAAGTGCATTCGTTGAGATTTTTAGTTAAGCTCAGGGTTATAGTGGATGCCGATACTACCTTCTTCATCTTATGAAAGCTATATTCATGAATATTCAGGGTTGTTTTTCTGCGCATGGTACAGAATTGCGTTCGGCAACAATGAAGGCGATGTGAAAGACTTTGAAAGGGTAAGTGTAACTGTGTTTGCTTTGTCCCTGGCTTTGTTACAGTCTTGTTCGCTGCGCATGAGGGGGCGTGTCGTGTCAGTGAGGAGAGATGGCTCGCCGCCAGCCCGTTCTCCACCAATTTTTAGAGCGGGTTAACGGCAACTAGTGCTGGAAAACGACTGATACACGATTTGTTGCAGTCTTGTTGTTTGCCGAAAGGGAAAAAGGGCTGGCGCTGCCCATAATCCCGGTTACACTTTGAGACGCCTCTTCATAGGCAGCACACAAGAGTAAAAATCGGCACTTTCTATTCCATGCTACATACCAAGATTGCCTCTTACCACCAGCGCGGGACCCCTCCCCCCGCCTTACATAGAGCGATCTCCTTCCCTTTCCTTTTCCGTTTCGGTTTTGTTGTTTTTCCAGGGCACGTCTTTCCGCTTGGGTAATTTTTGGAGAATGCGACCCCCCCACCCCTAGTTCTCCGATACGATCGAGCTGTCGAGCAGGGGGCGGGGTATATAGCAACAGCAAGCAAATACGACCCCCTTCCCCTCACTTTATAGCGTCCATTAAACAAAAAAACCAACTATCAAACAAATTTTTCGCAGGCGAAATACCACCAGCTCTTTCCCCGCGACCAGATACGCGGGGAAAGAGCTGGTGGTATTTACTACCTACCCTTGTTGGGAATCCCTGAAGATGATGTGTCCTGTCAGATTCCATTCCTATTGAGAGGGGAACAGCTCTCCCTTTTCCTTGACTTTCTTAATAAACCTCACTCCTAAACACACCTCACCAATTTCTAGACTTCCTTGTAATTCTAAAAAAAATTCCATGCATAAGGTAACACTCATAGTTTCCGTTTCAGCGCCCTCCTTCGTACGCCTACTGTATTTCTCATTCCACCCCGTCGATGTGTATATCTACAGACGAGTTGCCGTCCTATGAAGAAGCCGTACGTCGAACTAGCGTGCAGAAGCAGTCCCATTCGTCGGCACCTCTGCCTCGATCAGCTCAGCTCCCATGTTGTTCTACATCAAAACCACCCCTGCCAACGACAACGACTGCTTCTTCGTCAAGTCGACGAGGACCTCGAATGATGAAGGCATCAGCGTTTCGATATCACGCACATACGCCTTCACAAACCACTCGAACGTCGACGACGACGTCAGCGGGAGTACCGAAGCCGCATCGATCATCTCGACCACAGCGAACTGTGGCGATTCAGATCGAATATCCAGAAAATGCTCCGCATCAATGTGAGTTCTGTTCCGTATATTGATTTCCTTGAACTGAAAAGGTCCCCTTCAGTTCTTTCGGAATGTTCATTGTTTTCTTCAGAATCGTTTGAAGCCATTGAATCGGTCATCGGATGAAATTTCTCTGGTCAAGACGCTGAGGCCGTTGGCAGGAGGAGCTGGGAATTGAGCGCAGCGCGCCCTCCAAATCAACGTGTTGAAGGCGGACAGAGCGACCAAACAGTTGATGGAACGGGCTGGCGGTTGCGCGCAAATCCTAGCTCCAAGCGTTTGCAGGCGGAAACGACATGTGCACAATGTAATGAATTCCTCATTTTAGCCTTAAATAAACCGATTTCAGGAGCGCCTTGTGCTTCCTGCTTTCAATAAGGAGTCGACTTCCCTCCCCTTTCTCCTCCAAGGAGAAATGGATTGTACAAATGTAAATAATAAATATTATTATTTTCATCAGTGTTTTCATGTACGAAGCATTTAGTTTGCGAAGGAGTTGTCTTCATTAGTCAAATTCAGTGGCTGGATCGCAAATCTGTTCATCGCGCATTGAAGCCCTTGTAGGTCCGAGAAGAAGGTTGCAGGTTGTAGTGCTGGGAATCATAGCATCATGTGATGGTTGGGATATCAGTGAAGAATAAATCATGCTCAGTCACAGGAAATCTCCTAAATAAGAACCCTGTCGGCTCTGAGCACTGCTAGGAATACACAGCGGCGCAGAGGAGCTGACAGTACAAAAAACTGGAGGCAGACACTGGTACGCGGACTGGAAGGCCCCTAAACATAAACGGCCGAAATTCCACTGCTCTATAGCGATTAAGGCGAAAAGATAAAGGTAGACTCTGATCGAGAAGGCGGAGCATTCTCGTCGTCACTATGCCGTGCGTGATTGCCAAGCCCTTTGTCAGTAGTTGCAAAAGGACCACTGCGCTTTGCCATTGCGGACCGCGCCCTGTGGTGTCTACACGTCGTATAATTGCAAGGCTGTAATTCGAGCTATATAAGTATTCGGCTTCTATCTTGAGATGCTTGGTTTGCTGCGCAATTACCAGAATTTCATGGGTTCAAAATGTATGGGATCAGTCCAGACGGTAACGCGTGGCACGTCGATCTGTATTGCTGGTCTCTGCGGAGTACGATCTCTTCTTGGCTCTCTGCATAAGCAATGCCTACCGCTCCTTACTAACGGGCGTCGATTTCCCACGCAAGCGTCATAGCTGCTCCAAGTGTCGCATAACGAAGTTTGCTCAACAGCAAAAATTGTGGAAACCTGCCTATTTAAATAAAAGACAAATAACTCGCAAAACCTTAGCATAAAGAAATAACTCGCACAACTGTTCCTCTCTCAGGCTTTAGCAGAAAGTGCTCGTCCGTGATAAACGGATAGGGCCATCGCTCGTCATCTGTTTTTGGGCAGCAGGCGCTCGGCGGAGTACGTAAGCAGAAGCGGGTAAACATGTACACTCCGGCAGACCTACTCTAGTGCGCTTCCGACCAAGGAGCGGAGGGCGCGTTGCAGTACGCTTGCGGATCCATCCACGGCAATGGCAGAGTCAGCCAGGGTCCGCGGAGGCACGGGTACAAATTGTTCTTGATTTCTCGAAAATAGTTCCTCAGTCGCTTCAGTCTATTGCTCGCTTCCACTAGGTCTGATATTCATGGTACCCATAGTTTCTGTTAGTGGTACGCGAAAAGAAGGCGCCTCTCCCTCAGCGGTAGAAACGAGATAAAACAAAAGAAATCACCTCTTTCGAGGGGCTATCAGAGTTGGAGGGGCTCTCAGTATTATTATAGCAATGCTGAGCTTTGAGCAAATAGTTTTTGACAGCACCAGGCGCGCGACCTCAACCCCACTCGCATCGCTTTTCCTTGCGGAGTGTCATCCCGTTAAAACAATAACTGAGCTTGCGGCGGCTAAGATGAGGTCTTGGAGCGGAACGTTTAGCGCACATCGCGCGCGGAAATTCGGACTTGGGTTCCGCTTGTTTATATTCATTGCGATAAATTTCTTTGAGATTTCGCATTTGTGGCGTCATTGTTTAGATCCATCACCTAGCAACTCGAAAGGTCCGTAAGAGATAGGGTAGCGCGTGGCTGCATACTTCATCTATGCTGAAGGGTGCTTGTGCTTTGAGAGGTATCATTTTGACACAAATGTGGTCGTGTCTCTGTCCAAACAGAACAAGATGGCAGTTGTCTCGAACTGAAATATCTCACGAGTAACCCATTATATCCCATGTTCGAATGCCACGCCTACTCCGTCTCAGGGATAAGAAGTATATGTATGTACAGTTGGTATCCTCGCAGTCAAGGACATCGGATCACTCAAGAGCGATGAATTGACCCCACCTGCGACGTTTACATCAGTGGTTGTTCTCTTCCCGATACCGACCGCTAAGCGATCACCATTGGTAGAACAAGGCAGTCTGAGGCGGGCTCATCCCACCCTCTTCACCACTCCCGACTGATTGCGATGTTACAAACTCTATGCTTAATCAGTTTGATAACAGCAAAACACAAACCACAGAACGATTATATTTACACACATCGTAGCAGTGCCTATTCAAATGAAGAGTCCATGCAGACACACAAATTAACTGACATTAACTTCTATCAAGACATAATTCTGCAGAGATAATAATACAAGGAAATCACAACGCATTCCAGTACCTAGATTTGAAAACCGACAAAAAGAACATAGGACCGTAAATAGTGAGAGGCCGGGGAGATTTCGCCGAAATATGAGCGTACGACAGGTGAACTTTGACAAAATGGTATTATGGAGAGCTAAGATAATTGCCTGGTTTTGCAAAAATAAATAATCGGTGCAATAGTCGGTAATCGGTCAGTCTCACGAAACACGCCCATTTTCTGCTAATTTGACAAGCGTTAGCGCTGTTAGTAATTAGAGAGGGATTTCACAGTCCGGTGAACAGTTGTTTCTAACACAGTCCCTTGTACCCCCTCATTCCTAGGCTCGGGTGCACGCGGGTAGTGTCACCCACGCCAAGCGAGAGGACAATGCGGTAAAACGCCCGAGGGTGGTGCCGGAGACGGTATAACATGGGAATCAAAAGTACCTCAAATGTGAGAAACTTAACCAAGCGCGCTGAGTATGGTAACAGCGACTCACTCGGACTGCGAAATCTTTCTGTGTTAACGGAATCTTCGGGATTGGGAAATACACACAAAAATTCCTGCATTCGAGAAATCTCTACTGCAAATGGTCAAAAATGAAAATCTAGACAAAAGAAGAATGGTCAGAAGGAAGAGAATCACATACACAGTAGAACATTATGAACTTCTCGATGATGAGAGAGAAGCAGATCAAAAGGGATGTGAAGAATCATACGTATAGAAGAGTGACGAGAACGTTTACGAGAATGAGACAGCTTGAAGGTCAATATTTTACGATTTTTTTACTTTCACTGGTCCAAGTGGGTCGACGTGATCCTCGTCAAGGGCTTGCATTTCATAGCCAAAGAATCCATCCGATTTCACCATTGAAACCTGAAGAACTCGATTCGAACGTTTTTATCTTCTGCCGAAAACCCGATGAATTATGTAGATTCACGGAATCTCGAATTACCATACTTAAAACCACTCAAACGGCTTCAAAGCATAATGACCTGACGAGTGGGGAGAGAAAGCTGTTGTGCCTTTCTCACTGGTGCACCCCTCTTTCTAGGACAATGTCCCTATTGCCCTCATCCCTCAGTGAGGTCCCGCTTATAGGGAAACGCACCAAGGTGGCTCTATGCCTCCGCCATGCAACTAGGGCGCAATGCTTTACAGGCAAACGTGATCGCGCACCTCATGAGAAAGTGATGCTGAAGAGGAAGCGTTAGACTCCTGGAAATCTCATTTTTTAAGGACCTTTGAACTTCTCCCCGCGCTATCCTCGAAGTGCGGCACCATCCAAGTGAAAATGCAGTCAGCGGTACAGAACAATCAGAAGTGAGAGGAGGCAGTAACGCGTTCAGCTATGGTTAGGCGTGTGGCTGACCGTGCACCAGCTCTGGCGGAGTATGGAAACGGCATTCGGGTGTTAATACTTGCCACCCTATCACCATGCACTTTTGGGCGCAAAAAAAGCGGCACACTGCTGTGGAGCCTATTTACCTCGCACACGACAAGAACCAGAGTCCGTGGAGGCTTTAAGAGAGCCGACTTCCCTCCAGGGTCGGTTATTTGGTACTACACTCGTTTATAGGACAAATACGCAGAATTGTGTACCAATTGGCATCGGGGGTCATGTCAAAGGATGGTGTTGCATATGTCTGATCGTGAATATCCTTTAGGATATTGAACCCAGGACAGGTAAGTGGCGTATCCCGGAAAATGGATCATGTTGTTCAATGACCAACGCTTGTTTCCTTCAAACTTTTTCTCATTGACATCATCAGCCAAACTATGCTTTGGAAACTTCCGCTTAGCCCATTTTTTTAGCAACTCTTGCTTCTTAAGGTATTCGTGCAGAATTTTTAGCAAGAACCATATAAGAAGATCTCAACTCACCGTCAAGTGTGTGTTGTGATAGGTAAGGAACAGGAGACCACTGACGAGGAATGCTCGTAAAGTAAGTGGACATTTCTCATCTTTGTAAAGCATCACATAAAGAAGGTAAGTAATTGTTAGGTGTCTGAAAAAAGAATGTTGTTATCCAGAGTTTACAAAAAGTAGTCCTGAAGAAAAAAGTTGGTCTTGCACTGAGTCTGTGCCGCACAATCATTGAGCACTTGAGATGAATCACTTTATCCTCGACAACACATTCATATAGAATTAAGGCCTTATTCCTTCTGCTACTCCGTCTCTTCCCAATTCGACTTCATTCTTCTACTCATAGTTCTTCTTCCCGGCCTCCCATTAGCTTACCTTGAAGCATATCACCCCCTACAACTTCCACTTTAAACCAGTGATCGCTGCAACGTTTGCCTTCCAAGCCACACCCTTCACCAACAGTTGCACCATAACTTCCCTCTCAGAAACAATTCCACGTTTGAAAGGCCGATGAGTCTAGTCAAGCAATCTGATATTTCTTACGTCACTCTTCTGGGGGTGACTCTACAACATTGTGAGCTTCCTAGATATTCAAAATGGTGACCAGGAGGCTAGATCGATCAGATTTGTTCTTTCCCCTACAGCAGGATAGGCCCTGGCGTCGGGAGCACCCCCCCTAAATTCTTCCCTCCTGAGTAACCCCTTTCACAATGGACTTGTCATCAGATTCTACTCTTCGGGGACCCCCATTGTGGGAATTACTACCTTCAGAAGTGACATAGACCCAAACAATGACGCTCCTTCAAAAGCAGGCGATCTTTCTCCTCTTCTCTCTTCTCTCTCTCTCTCTCTCTCTCTCTCTCTCTCTCTCTCTCTCTCTCTCCTCTTTTCACCCAAGCTCTCAGATGCTGCCTGAGCACAGAAATTTCAACTGACCTGAACACAAATAAGCAGCCCATGTTTGCGTAAATAAGAGCATTGTAGATGGGTGAGCGCTTTTTAGCATAGCCGGTCAGACGCACCATTGTGCGCAAATGTAGGAAAATCGTCTGCACCTGAAATCCAGTAGTGATTATTAACATCCAAAAAAAAAACAATGGTAACAAATGCCGACTGCAGCATTGTGTGGATCTCCATAACCCTTAACGTTTTTCATCAAAATCAGCGACCTTCTTCATTTAATGAAAAAAGGAAAAAAAAATGGTGCGGCGGTATCAACCTAATATGCTGTTCAAGTTGTGTAATAATTGCTTCTGTTATCCAAAGAGACCTAGGCGGGTACTTAATAGTAATTCTGTCAGTACCCCGAGGGGCAGGACAGAGGTAACTGTGATAAGTACAAAAGCCAGTGCATGGGTTCCTATATTTTTGTTTTTTTTTTGTTATATTTTCCTTGCATTTTAGGTTCATAAAAGTTATCTAATACAAAAACATGGTGTTTATCACCTTGAATTCATAATATGCTGGAACCAGTACAATCGTCAGCCCACGCAGGACTCTGTCCTCTGTGAGGAGGTCGGAAAGGGAGGAACAGCTGACGTGACGTGAGCAGGGGATGTCAACTCATAGAAAAAATAGCCAGCTGGTTTTGAGAGTCAAAAGGAGGAGAGCGCGGTTCTAGCCCAGTAATCCGACCGGTTATCACCAACCTTACCGAAACATAACAATAATAAAATAATAATAATAACATCACTATTATTGGAAAATTAACGAAAACACAAGGTCTGCGTACGTCAGGCATTGTAATTAGGGGTCAATATTGTGAGCCTGGAGGCCTCGGATCAAACATTTGTTATTGTGATATAAATAATTTTTCAGAGTTCGTGACTTGATTAACCCTACCTCCACAAGAAGACCAATCATTGCGAATCCAAACAATTTGCCCGTGTACAGAATAATCGAAAATGCCGTCACTACCTGAAATGCGCTAATGATTTTGGTGAGGGATGAAACTCTCTGAAACTGATCAATCATTCTTGTAATGCGTCACACATCCTACTTCCACTCCGAGTGGTCCTAACCGAATGTGATTCGGTCCAGGCAATGAGTTGCGGGGGTGGGGGCAGCCGTTGGTTTTCAGCCATTCAGCGGTTACCCCCCCCCCTGGAAGGTTCTGGTAACATTTTAGGCATATCTAACAGTTACCGTAAGCGGCCGCGTAACTTTATGCCGTCTGCATCGCGAGAGCTGCTCCAGAAGCAACTCTGCAACATGAGAATCTAGTTCCGCCCAGATTATCTTATGATCCTTCCAAGCCATGACTGAATTCGGTTTTTAAAGGCAGTTGGCACGATAAATCCCCCAAGACGACTAGGATCAATACTCCTGGCAGGATAGAATTCCGCGACCTGGGCAGGCGCTGCATAGCGGTTTCCCCGAGAAGGTGCTCTTATAAGGGCTCTATCAAGCCACAACTTTACGACCCAACGCCCGCCACGCCCGCCCGCCCACAATGGACGACCGTTCCTGACGCTCGTATTCATTCATTTGCTAAGCAAATTATGAAGCGAAGGGATTGGTATGAAGCGGCCGTGATGCTGCATGCATACATGGGTACACATATGCCGTATCTTCGGTAGCGGTGATTGGTAAGATGCCTACGGGAAACTCGTCCGAAATCGATTTACAAGTCACTGAGAACGGAGGCTTTTTCTTCGCAGGATTTTGACCGTTTCACTCCGTTCTTTCGCCATTTCCCCACTATACAGCGCCCTACTAGCATTTTAGGCTAAGTACATCGTGCCAACTGCCTTCAAGAAACCTCTCATATCCGTTGGAACATTTTCACCTACAGCCTATGTCTAGGAAATGAAATATGGCTCGGCCCTACTTGCCCTTTACTGTAGCAGTGTTGGAAAGAACATATTTTGATTTCGGCACCGGCCTTAGCGCACACAACGCTTGGGGCAGCTAAATGTCATGATCATGTTCAGGAGGTCATTTTCGTCTTAAGCCAATTTTAAACTTCCAGCTATCGCGCCACAAGCAGCCACACGCGTGGATTCCAGCAAATTCGAGTCAGGCGGATGTGACATTCGTGCACCATCGGGGCAATATTTCAGCCAACTCTGCTCTCGAAGAGTTGTCACTTCAAGTGGCTTGAATTTCAAAAAGTGGGCCAGCAGAATTTCAAAAAGTGGGCCAGCAAAGGGTGTGCGGTGCTTAGAATACTATGACAAGTGTGAAGTGCTCAGTGGAAGGCTCAGTCCTGACAGCGTACCCAGTGAGGTGCTCCGCCTGGAAACAAATCACGCCACGAATTTCTCTCCACTCCAAAACTGAACGGGCGTACAGGTGACCGAAAATTCGTGGGTAGTGCACTTGTGCTGGCTGAAAACCTACGAATGTTCGAGCAAACGGTTTTGATTTTCAGGTCAAAAAGCTGCTTCGTTGAGAGAAGAGGAACGGGATAAAAGCGTGAACATGGCACACCACTGCAAGAAGACCTCCCTGACAAGGTTTCCACCGATCTGAGAATGTGGGTAAGAAACGAACAGATTTCTATGGTCCGTGGTGTAGTATACACCTCCCTAATCCACACCCCCTCCGTCCTTCCTCGACATGCCCTGCGCGGGAACTTTGTCGGAGAGACTTTATCGCGTGAACTGTGTAAATGTGACTCTACACTTTCTGTCACCACGCTATTAATAAACTGAAAACTATAATAAACTCACTAGTGAATGATGAACAAAGTATTCCTTTGAGTAGGGTGCTTCACCGTGAATATACATATCCGTCATATCGTAGATGAAATAGCCTGAAACCGTTCATGGGTATCGCAGGACAGCGTCATTAAGTTGATAGAAAAGTAGTACACACAACTAATCAGAAATACATGAAATTAGATCCTCCAGGACGAAATTAGAAAAAATTAAAGGTGTTGAATTGCGGAGAAACTCACCCATTGAAAAAAGAAATATGTATTGTGCCGAGTATGTTGCATAATCGTACGGTTCTTTTACATAGTTTGAATCAGATAAAAGGCTGAAATTGGGAAACAATTATGTACAGCGCGAAGCGATTCATGGTACACAAAAATTTCAAGCTAGAATAAAACGTCACCACTCGTGGGCCAACCTTATAAGGAAGATGGTACTGCCTACTCTTGGAAAAATAGTCCTCATAAGGAATTAATGCGGTTAGATCGCACGTCGGACGTTTGGCCAATCTCCAAGCAAAGAGGGTCGAGAGGGGACATACTTGGCCTTTCGCAGAGAGATTTGGCGGCGTTGAGCAAAAAATTTCTCCGATTGCTGACTGCTTCTCGTTTTCCGTGGTTTCACGTTTACGATATCGTTGCGGGATCCGCCAGCAGGGGGGAGTCGTATTTTGCGGCCGAGAATATATACCCCCTTTCCCCCCGCGCTCGACAAGCTCGATGCAGGGAGAGGGAGGGGTCTTACCCAATCACCAAAAAGGGGAGCGGTCGTACCGGACTCTTACCAAAATTCCCCAACCAATGATTGCAGCACACATGTTAAAATAATATAATAATATAATAATATAATAATAATAATAATAATAATAATATTCCAATTGACTGAAAGACTCATTTAACCTGCATAAACATCCTATCGATGAAAGTGTAGCATGAGTCAGTGAAATCACACGTGCAGTGAATATACGCACCTGAAGATGTTTTCTGAGTTAGACTTGATTTTTCAGTGTCATGGACCTCCCTAGTGGGAAACCTCCCTTGGGGGAATGGACCTCCTTGTGGGAGTTTCCTTGCGACCCACCTTATTCTCTGACCAATCACGTGCTTTTGCCCTCACTATGGCCGCTGCCAGTAGGTACTCAATCCGGAGCACCACAGCTACCCCAAGGAGGAACAAGAGACGGAACATGATCCTGAAATGCTTCAATTAAAAAGCTAACCAACACCATAAAGTGTGCATAACAACCGTTGGACGAGTCATCCTACGATTTAAAATACGACAATTAATTAAAAATGTGATGGCACGATAATTTATTGTTGCTGGAGTGTTCTACTAGGTGACAGATTACTGTAATGTACGGCTAGGAAAACAAGTGAGTCCAAAGGTGAAGAATGCTCTTCAAGCAACACCACCTCAGCCAAATAGAAGAAAATGTAAGGAAGCTTCAAGTTCAAATGTTTCTTACGGTGAAACCGGAAGCTTTATGACCTGAAGGAATTTATGGGCCCTGTTTCGGATGAATCGATCATGAACTGCTCATCCACACGCCGTGGATCATTAAATAGTGCACCCACCATAACGAAACTTAATCAATTAATGAACAGATTCTGAGTCTCAAACAAGCGGA